CCACCCCTACTTTTTATAGGGCTGGAGTTTTGATGTTCATTGAAGCCAGATGAATATAAGAGTGTTGATAGAACTTTATGATCAGACTAATTTAGAATATGTAGCATGGAATGTATTGCCTGATACAAGGAAAATGAACTTCTTCAAATATTCTCAGAATGAAAGAGAACCTCTGTGTAGTAATGGTAAAGTTGAAACAATAGATTCTTCACTGAATACTTGATTATTTGTCTTCAGCATGTGAAGCTTGTTAAAGAAGGATTGTTGGGCTAAAGTCTCGTTAATAGAAACTTCTCTAGTCAAAATTGTACACAAAGGAAGATAATTATGATAATTTAGAGATTGTTGAATGGTGTAAACAAAGTTTGGTATTTGCCTCTGTGTTAACTTCTTTACAGAGTTGACGGTGGCCCAATAACATGTCTAAGATTGCCGGTGTGATGAAGATTTCTTAATCGAGATAACAACTATCATAGGATCACTTAACTTTTTCGTGTGAATGTGGGATCATTATCATTACAAGAGTAAAGATGGGGAAAAAAGAAAGGGATACTTACAAATAACCAAAGAAGCTTAGGTAATAAACAGGGCACCACAAGATCCCCTGGGATAGCTTATATTTTGAGTCAAGTAAGCTTTGGTGATACCCCATCTGTCATCTATCTGAAAACAGTTTTTGTTATCACTGTTTCTGGAGAAGTACTGGATGGATCTTTCTCAAATTTCAATAATAGGTCCCCAGTTGTGCCCATTTGATTTTGGGCAGATCAATGAAACAAAATGGCTGACAGGTAGCCATCTTGGATTTCACCTAATAAAGTTTGTTATCCCTATTTCTTAACTTAAGAAGAATTGAATGGATCACTCTCAAATTTCATATGTAGGTTTCCCTTTGTCCCTAGTTGTGCTTATTGAATGTTGAGACTAATCAGAAAAACAAAATGGTTGACAGGTGGCCATCATGGATTTTGACTTTAAAGTTTGTTATTTCAGTTTTTCTAGAACTGCAGCATATGTCTTGCTGAAATTTCATGTATAGGTTCCTCTTTGTCCCTCGTTTTGCTGCTGATCAGGAAAAAGGAAACGTTCAAAAGGATTTATTTTCCCTAGTAAAGTTTGTAACCTCTACTGACTGGATCATATGTAGGTTTCCTTTGGTCTCTTCTTGTTCCTGCTTGATTTGGAACTGACCAGAAGTAACAAAATGGCTTCCAGGCAACAATCTTCCATTTGACAGTTGAACATTATCATTTCTATTCCTGCAAAGGAATGCTCAGATTTTTTATCATTAAGAGCAAATACAGAAGAGAAGAGAAAACAAGGGAAAAGATCATTCAAACAGTTGTGGGCGCCAAGATCTCTCTGGGATCTCTTCATTATCTTGCTCCTGTCTCGTGCATTAATTAGATTTCACATGTGATCTAATTTTTTGTTTTGAAATTCCACAAGAAGGTGTAACTTAAAAGCGCTCAGAAATTTTATGAAACGTGATTTTTCTGTGTTATAATATTTTGATCTCAGCAGTGCACATGCTGTTTTTGGCTGCGCCAGAGCAAAGTCTTACAAAAGACACTTCACCACTGCACATGCACCTGGCTGTATGATTGAGTCAGATTTACCTCCTTCCAGCATCTAAGTATTGACTAGAAAAAAATTAATTGTAGTAAACATTAAGATATTTTCAGATTAATAATTTCACATAGGGCTGCAGTGGGATACTAGTGTGTTGACATCACTGTGTGAGATACTGGTGATGTGTTAACATCACTGTGTGAGATACTGGTGATGTGTTTACATCACTGTGTGAGATACTGGTGATGTGTTTACATCACTGAGTGAGATACTGGTGATGTGTTGACATCACTATGTGAGATACTGGTGATGTGTTGACATCACTGTGTGAGATACTAGTGATGTGTTTACATCACTGAGTGAGATACTGGTGATGTGTTGACATCACTTTGTAAGATACTGGTGATGTGTTTACATCACTGTGTAGTCACTGTGTAGATACTGGTGATGTGTTTACATCACTGTGTAGATACTGGTGATGTGTTGACATCACTGTGTAGTCACTGTGTAGATACTGGTGATGTGTCGACATCACTGTGTGAGATACTGGTAATGTGTTGACATCACTGTGTGAGATACTGGTGATGTGTTTACATCACTGTGTGAGATACTGTTGATGTGTTTACATCACTGTGTGAGATACTAGTGATGTGTTTACATCACTGTGTGAGATACTGCTGATATGTTTACATCACTGTGTGAGATACTGGTGATGTGTTTACATCACTGTGTGAGATACTGGTGATGTGTTGACATCACTTTGTAAGATACTGGTGATGTGTTTACATCACTGTGTAGTCACTGTGTAGATACTGGTGATGTGTTGACATCACTTTGTAAGATACTGGTGATGTGTTTACATCACTATGTAGTCACTGTGTAGATACTGGTGATGTGTTGACATCACTGTGTAGATACTGGTGATGTGTTTACATCACTGAATGAGATACTGGTGATGTGTTTACATCACTGTGTAGATACTGGTGATGTGTTTACATCACTGTGTAGATACTGGTGATGTGTTTACATCACTGTGTAGTCACTGTGTAGATACTGGTGATGTGTTGACATCACTGTGTAGATACTGGTGATGTGTTTACATCACTGAATGAGATACTGGTGATGTGTTTACATCACTGTGTAGATACTGGTGATGTGTTTACATCACTGTGTAGATACTGGTGATGTGTTTACATCACTGTGTAGTCACTGTGTAGATACTGGTGATGTGTTTACATCACTGTGTAGTCACTGTGTAGATACTGGTGATGTGTTTACATCACTGTGTAGATACTGGTGATGTGTTGACATCACTGTGTAGATACTGGTGATGTGTTTACATCACTGTGTAGATACTGGTGATGTGTTTACATCACTGTGTAGTCACTGTGTAGATACTGGTGATGTGTTTACATCACTGTGTAGATACTGGTGATGTGTTTACATCACTGTAGATACTGGTGATGTGTTTACATCACTGTGTAGTCACTGTGTAGATACTGGTGATGTGTTGACATCACTGAATGAGATACTGGTGATGTGTTTACATCACTGTGTGAGATACTGGTGATGTGTTTACATCACTGAATGAGATACTGGTGATGTGTTGACATCACTGTGTAGATACTGGTGATGTGTTTACATCACTGTGTAGATACTGGTGATGTGTTTACATCACTGAATGAGATACTGGTGATATGTTTACATCACTGTGTAGATACTGGTGATGTGTTTACATCACTGAATGAGATACTGGTGATGTGTTTACATCACTGTGTAGATACTGGTGATGTGTTTACATCACTGTGTAGATACTGGTGATGTGTTTACATCACTGTGTAGATACTGGTGATGTGTTTACATCACTGTGTAGATACTGGTGATGTGTTTACATCACTGTGTAGATACTGGTGATGTGTTTACATCACTGAATGAGATACTGGTGATGTGTTTACATCACTGTGTAGATACTGGTGATGTGTTTACATCACTGTGTAGATACTGTTGATGTGTTTACATCACTGAATGAGATACTGTTGATGTGTTTACATCACTGAATGAGATACTGGTGATGTGTTGACATCACTGTGTGAGATACTGGTGATGTGTTTACATCACTGAATGAGATACTGTTGATGTGTTTACATCACTGTGTGAGATACTGGTGATGTGTTTACATCACTGAATGAGATATTCTATTGAAGCCACCTCTAAATGCTATTTTATATTTTAGTGATAAACAATGTTGGGTTAGATTTAGTACCTTTGTGGTTTTTTAATCATATCATAATTTGAAAATTCAAAAATTTATTTGAAATTTCTTTCCTTTCAGATGAGATATATGAAAGTAATGCCTAAAGCTCCTTGAAATGATTTTACATCAGTCTTACATGTAGTTGAATGCCACATAAGTGTCCTTGGTGGCTCAGAGGCTAAGATATCTGACTGCCTTTATCACTAGCCCTACAGATCTTGGTATCAGGTTTGAAGCCTATATCAAGTAGTTGCCAGGTGCTGACCATGGGTCAGTGGTTTTTCTGTGGAACTCTCACTTTCCTCTACTAACCAATCTTGGCACATCCTTAATTGACCTTGGCTGTTAATAGGAAATAAAGCAACATTAAACCAAACCTGTAAGCTCCAATGCATGTTTGTATGTATACTCTGTCAGACTAGCAGAAAGCTCCTCAGTCTACTGTACCAGTGTGTGGCTGTTATCGCCTTCTGGTAGGTTGTAAGTAAGCCATGCTTGTTTACAAAAAAATGCTCATTTAGGTAAACTGCTTCATTCAGAACACACTGAGAATTAGGGATTCTAGCTGAGGGGGAGATTTTATGGCTGGGGGGTAAGTATAATAAAAATTTTGATGATGATTGTGAAATGTGACAAAGTCTAGGGTTTGGTTGAAGGAGGGAAAGGAGGAATCACTTTCACTAGACACAAAAAATCAGTTCTATACATAGACTGTAGACTAGATGAAGAAATGGTAAAAGTTGTAGGGATGAGAAGGGAAAGACTACATGCTGGGAGGGAGTGCGTGAATATTAGAGTATAATTAAACCCAGTTTATACACATAAATCAGTGTTAGGATACAATAACTGTACATATATATTCCTTAAAAGGAATATAGACAAAGATGGCCAATAGTTTTATAAATGGAAACTTTAAGTCAATCAGATGAGCTTCTTTTAGCATACAGATTGGATTGAGCGACGTGTATTCATTCATCATGTTAAGTTTCAGGAAGTGTTGAATTTGCCATCAAATCTGCACTATCACAGTTATAAGACCAGGGATCTCATTTGTCATGAAAAGAAAACTTAATCATAGATTAAAGAAATGTTAATTGTAAACATACCTTTGTTAGACTTCACTTACATTTGATAAAATAGTTTTAATGCACTTCTTGATTTTGGTGAATTTCAGGCAGCGTTTCAGCGCGATGGGCTCAGTCAGTTGTGGAATGAACTGGTAAAGGATGGAGAAATAGCTGCTAGTAATAATGATGGCCTGATCAACAGCGCTGGCGTCCTCGCAAGGAAAGGTAAGTGATAGGGGGGAAATGTTACCTATGTGGTCAACACAGGTGAATTGTTAGGTTTGTGTGTGGTTAACACAGGTGAATTGTCAGGTTTGTGTGTGGTCAACACAGGTGCATTGTCAGGATTGTGTGTGGTCAACACAGGTGAATTGTCAGGTTTGTGTGTGGTTAACACAGGTGAACTGTCAGGTTTGTGTGTGGTTAACACAGGTGAATTGTCAGATTTGTGTATGATTAACACAGGTGAATTGTCAGGTTTGTGTGTGGTTAACACAGGTGAACTGTCAGGTTTGTGTGTGGTTAACACAGGTGAATTGTCAGGTTTGTGTGTGGTTAACACAGGTGAACTGTCAGGTTGTGTGTGGTTAACACAGGTGAATTGTCAGGTGTGTGTATGATAAACACAGGTAAATTTTCAGGTTTGTGTATGATAAACACAGATGAAATATGAATAGTTAATTAGATAAGGTTTTACTGCTGATATACTGATCAGGGTGTATAGTCTTTGCCTGTAGCTTGTATGTTCTATACATTATTAATGTGAGCTGTAATACTGGGCAGAGTTTCATCAGTTTCAGCATGTGGCTGGTACATTTGCTGACCAATGGTCAGTTGAGTAGATCAATTACATTTGTGGACCCCTTGAATGAACCCCACTTTCTCTGTCTGTAGCCAAGGTAAATACCTTGTGGTTTCAGTAATGTTGATAATTAAGATACCAGTAGACATGAAAACAGACAGTCACACAATTCATGTGCTTCCTTTTCAAGACAATGAGTCATTATGAAACATATTGGTTATGAAAAAAATTGTTGAAATATTCACATTTATGCAATCAAGTATATATTTTTTTTTAATTTTTAATGTTTTAAATGCAGATTTTTAACTTTTTATTCAAAATGCTCTCTTGAAGAATCTTGATATTAGATGAATTGCATAGATGTTGATTTTAAAATTTCATGGTCTCAGGAATATTGATTTATAATTTAATTTCATTCAAAACAGTTTCTAATTAAGTTTGTTTTCTAAAAAGATTTAGTTGATTATAAAGAAATGTTTGAATATCTCATAGACTATTCCTATTTCTTACTGATGTCTGCAAGTTTGTCTACAAAGATGATTTTCAGTTCCTTGTTACTGCAATCTGTGATTATATTATATATCTGAATTCTTGAAATTAATTTTAAGTTATCATGGATCACAAAAATTTGACAAGTATGCAAATGTCTGTTATTTTTTCATTAATCATATTTAGTTACATCAGACCAGTCTTGTTATAAGACATTTGAAAAATATTGACCTTTTAACAAGTCTCCATTAAATTTGTCCAAGGAATGTCTATGATATAGTATATGATGATATCACTATACTAAACAGTATTTTTCTTTTGCCTCTTTAATTTATGACCTTTCATCTTTAATAAGATATAACAAAATTAAGCATGTCGAACAATTTTGCTGATTCATAACTTCATGGTCATCTGATTCTCACAAAGGTATCATATTCTGAAAGTGATGGTTTCTAGGTTATTAGGGTTAGTGTGTTAAATAACTATAGATAATATCTACTGCCTTGAAATCGAGCCTGGTATGAGTCAGAATCCTGATATGCCTCCTTTAATAAACATTGCTGCAAGTGGTAACCATCTCGCATAAACTATATTACAGAAAGTAAAACAGCATTACATTCTTGGCCCCAATAGAATTATGATGAATTAAAGCCCTACATTTTCACAGCTTATTCAGAGATTCAAAATTACTTACATAATATTTTATCTTTTGATGTCAGACATGAACTTTATATATAGATGTATAAACTTCACAAAAATTTTACCATAGTTGAAAAAAAAGAGTTCAAGAAATTTCACAAAGTTGTCTTCCGAATTTTGTTTCATTGTGTAATTTTCCTTACAGGCAGGGTTTAAAGAAATCCTGCATTCCTCAAAAACAAAGAGAAAAAAACAGATCAAATACAGAGTATGCAATCATTTTACCTCAACTAGATATTACAGAGATGGAAGATTCAAGTGATTGCTGAAATACCAGAACTATGATAGGATAACTAAGATTTAGTAGATAGCAATTTCTGGTAGTAGTATATACTGCTAATTATGTTGTCATGTTATTGAAAGCTTAAAGGTATCAAGGCATAGAGTTGGTCTCTTGTTCAGTTACATCACTATGTAAGATAAATGTTATTACTTTTGATTGCTTGTAATGTCCTGCCAATGAACAACTTCCCAGCAATTATTATCATTATATCTGTGTTTATAACCAGACAACAAAAGTCAGCAGCATTCTCGGTCACTTCTTTATTACTGTAAATGATATATATAAAGGACTTCGGAGGGGTATTTGGTGTAAAAGTAAAGGAGCTGGGTGGTATAATTAGTGTAAAATTAAAAAAGGACTTTGATGGTGTATTGGAATAAAAGTAAAAGAATTGAGTTGTATGTTTGGAATAAAAGTAACAGAACTGCATGGTATATTTAGTGTAAAAGTGACGGAACTGCATGGTATATTTAGTGTAAAAGTGACGGAACTGCATGGTATATTTAGTGTAAAAGTGACGGAAATGCATGGTATATTTAGTGTAAAAGTGACGGAACTGCATGGTATATTTAGTGTAAAAGTGACGGGACTGCATGGCATATTTAGTGTAAAAGTGACAGAACTGCATGGTATATTTAGTGTAAAAGTGACGGAACTGCATGGTATATTTAGTGTAAAAGTGACTGAAATGCATGGTATATTTAGTGTAAAAGTGACGGAACTGCATGGTATATTTAGTGTAAAAGTAAAGGAATTGGGTGATACATTTGGTACAAAAAGTTATAATTAGAATGCCAAACTACTGTATATATATACAGTAGGACTTGTATCAAGATTCAGATATATCATATGATTGATGCATGTATAAATTTTCAGATTCTGTTATAAATGGTTGAAATATATTTTGTTAAAAACATTGATAAATTAAATTTGAAAATGGTCACTGAAGCCAGAAATGTATTTGGTATGGATATTTATACAGAAATTATTTCCTCTGGTTTATGTTTTCACTTTAAAAATTATGTTTATAGAAATTTTATTTCTGTAGGTTACTCAACAATCTGTATATATGTAGAACCATTTTGAGATTTTTTTCGTTCCCTGCCTATAGGTGAGATTTTTTTCGTTCCCTGCCTATAGGTGAGATTTTTTTCATTCCCTGCCTATAGGTGTATTTTAATACCATGCAAATTTAAAAGAAATTTACTTTAACATTTTAAGTTTTATCTAAAATCTTGATATCTGACGTTATCCATGTTAAAATTTTCTGCTGATACACATCCTGTTTAATTAAGTTGTAGTAGATTATGCATTAAAATGAAAAAAAAGGTTTGGAGGACAAATTGATTGTAATGATCAAGAGGAGATTTAAAATTGCATACAATACCAACTCTTTTCTAAAAATAACTGTGAGGTGATGAGAAGATGAACTTCACTTTTAACTATGAAATAAAACTTATATTTAACTTCAGAGGAAAAAGACACTAATAATACCGAAAGGTATGATGACCTGGGACACCCAACTCCTACAAACCTGACTAAATATTATTTATTATAATTATTATTATTATGACATTCTTAACGGCCCGTCAACACATAAAAGGTAAAACACACAGCGATCCAACAAAACATGGAATGATACAGATCTGAATTATGAGATGATGTGATGGCTGATTATACAGTGATATATAATGTGTACCATAAATAATGTGTACCATTTCACCTAACTTTCCTGATGTGTTTTTTATCGGGTCGACGGTAGTTTAGTGGCTCTATATAACCGTTGATGATACCAAATTCACCTGAGAATAGCTGTGTGTGTTACCTGGTGCAGGCGTACAGTTGCTCTGATTTTATGAGATTGTGGTGCCACTTCATGGTATTGTCTAGAGGAAAGCCTTTGTACTTTCCAAAGTTTACGTCATACTGTCAGTGGTTATCAAGTCTGCAAGTAAGACTACAGACTTGGATACTCAGTGTTATAACAGGGCTCATATAGAGCTTTCTGTGCAATGCTGATTTTTCTGTGTTTGGTATATGTTGTCAGAATCTTTATCACAGAAATGATATTGTGAATTGTTCTGTGTACGCCTCCACAGCTTAGTTGGTCCATTAATAGATCATTCATAGTTTCTTCCTTCGGCCATCTTGATATTCTCAGATGGAAATGAGGATGTTGTTTCCATAAATAACACCGATAGTGGTTAAGTCAGAGGTTATGGGTTCAAACCAGAAATATTTTATATCTATCCACTAGTAAGTACAGAATATTTATCCCCTAATTAGTAAAGTTTATTTATCCCTTATCTACTACACTATAAAGTGGAACCTGCTTAATATCATATTTAGTTGTCAGGGGGAAATGTGATAATAAGCAGAATGTGACATTAACAGTTGACACATTTTTTGTTATTGTGATATTAAGTGTTGCCCAATTGAAAATAGATGACATTATCAGATATTAGGTTACTTAAAATGTATAGGAAAAATCTGTGTTTCAAGAAAATGTGATATTAATGGAAGAGTGACTTTTAGCAACGTGATATTAAGTGGTTTCTACTGTATTAATCCTTATATTTACAACCATAGTCAGTGGTGTATATCTCTTTGCTAATTAGTACTTTATATTTATTAAATATATTTGTACATTTTATTTATACCATAGGAAGTGAAATATATATTAATCCTCAAGTTAGTACAGTATACTTTTAAGTTAAGTTAATCTGATCTTAATCTCTTAATCTGTTAGTATAGTATATTTATTTCTTTAATGTTCAATATATTGATAAGTTTTCTGCCCATTTCATGTTCTCTCCCTTTCCCTACAGACAAAACCAAATGATAGTTAACTTCCTAGAATACTCCTATTTCTATTTTTGATTTTACAAAAACATGAAGCTATATAAGGTTTTGAAATTACATAATTAATTGATATGTGATTTTATTTAGGAT